CCAAAGAACCTCCTGCCTTTGACTAAATGATTCTCTGGGCACAGCACGTGGAAACGCAGCACGGTGGAAAGGACACGGTGCCCACCCCAGGGAGGTGGGAACAGGCAGAGAGCAGGGACACCCCGTGGAAAAGGGGCCACCAAGTATTTCTGATCACACAGGTGCCCTTCAAACAAGTGTCTTTGGGAGCAAACGCCCACAGTGTCATCTCTGAACGGGGAGAGGGCAGCTCAGGCAAGGCCACCCCGATGACACGAACAGCACAAGCTCCCAGGGCCACTAACTGGATCCCAGCACGTTGCTGGCACTGGATGTCCCAGTCACAGCGCTGCCTGGCACTGGAGCAGCCCCTCTTTGTGAGACTAATTACTGTTTGCAGAAAAAGGTGGGATGGAACACGACAAATTTTAGCCACAGGATGAAAAATCAACCCCTGTGAAAGCCTGAGTGGTGCTGCATCCCATAACACCTCATCTCCTGCATCAGCACCACAAACCCAGCGTGGTACGAGCCAAGCAGGAACAGTCCCTTCCCCCAGCGACGTGCTCCAGAGGCTCTGAAGCTCCCCTGTCCCTCTGTCCTCACCTCCACCGCGGTTTTGTAGGTCTGCAGTTTGACTGCTAAAGGCTCCCAGATCCCCAGGTCCTTCATATCAACTAAAGCTCCGGTCTCGCCGTTCACCCCCCACGTCTGGCTGCCTTCTTGGGTGTGTTTCGCCTGTAAGGAGAAGGACAGGTCACCACCGAGGGAGGAACGGAGCAAACGCAGCACCTGGAGATTCAAACTGACCGTGGGTGGGCTCAGGGAAACTGTAACAGGTGATGAGAATTCTCTGAATTTTGGAGTTGATGTAGGAGCAGGTCACTGAGCAGCACCTGAAACAACTAACTGTATCCTAAATCAGACCTGGAGAACTCTCCCTCACACCATCCAACCCAATCTCAAAGGAAGATCTCGACGTTGTTCACCTTCAGGGTTTCGTTTTTAAACTCTTAGTACCTCAAACCAACTATTTCATTCCATTTTCAAGCTTCCAAACTTCTCACAAAACTTCAGTAAAAATGTCTGCAGCGCAGCTCGTGCAAAAACAAACCCAACAAACCCCACCAACAGTTTCCAACCACTTTCAGCAGCTCAGTTCCTTCAACACAGGTTTCTTCTCACATAAAAGCCAAACACAGCTACTGAGAAGCTGCCACCTCCACTGCGATGGAAGCATCCTGGTTTCCAGCTTGGCCACAGCCAGGTTTCTCCTCAGCAACCACAACTGTGTTGTTTTGGTTTCAGAATGGGATTTTTTAACGAGAAAAATCTTGGTAACGTACCAATGTTCTCAATTGCTGCTGGAAGTTGAAGTTTTGCTCGTCCCCAAGTGCAAGGTCTAAGGGGGGTGAGGAATATTTCAAATAATGAGCTAAATTTAAGAATTGCAGTAGATGTGAGGGAGAAATTGTTTGGTGTGAGGGTGGTCAGACAGTGTCCCAGGTTGGCCAGAGAAGCTGTGGCTGCTCCTCCCTGGAAGTGTTTGTGGCCAGGTTGGATGAGGCTTTGAGCAACCTGGTCTAGTGGAAGGTGTCCCTGCTGCTGGCAGGGGGGTTGGAGAGGCTTTAAGGTCCCTTCCCACCCAAACCAGTCTGGGATTCTATGATAATGGGATATTCCAGATCATATCACACCATGTTCAGTCTATTACTGAGGGGCTCTCCCCAGCTGGGGTCCTGGTGGGACTCTTGCTCCTCTGAGATTGTGGATTTGGGATTGTCACTCCTCTGGGATCATTATCTGGGAGTGGGCTGGGCTTGGTCAGCAGGTGGTGAGCAACAGCACTGGGTCTCACTCATTTATATATTTTCTATTATTATTATTATTGCTGTTGACTAATAGCAATAAAATTGCTTTTAATAGCAATAAATTGCTTTTGATTTCATAGCTCTCTTAATTTCATAGCTCTTCTAATTTGTATTTTATTTCCGTTATTAAATTGTTCTTACCTCAACCTACGAGTCTCCTCACCCTTTCCTCCCCACCCCAATTCTCTCCCCTGTGCCCCGAGAGGTGAAGGGTGAGCGAGCGGCTGCGTTTGGCTGCCAGCCAAGTGAAACCACCACAAGAAGGAGGGTGGCTCTGAGGGCCAGGACACAGCAGGAAGGGGCTGAGTCTCTCCAGAGGACCCCGCGCCACAGTCCTTACCCTGAGCGAGGTCAGCACACGGATGGTGCTGGCACCACAGTTCTGGATCAGCGTGCGGGGAATGACTTCCAGAGCCTGGGCCACTGCACGGTAGGGCCACTGCTCCACTCCCGTCATCCCTTTGGATTTCTCCGTCAGCGCGTGGGAAACGGCCATTTCGGTGGCTCCCCCGCCTGGCACCAGCTGCGGGTCCAGGAGGACGTTGCGACACACCTGCATGGCGTCCTGGAGGTTGCGCTCCACCTCCTGCAGCGGGCACAGAGCACACAGTTACCAGTTGTGTATCACCACAATGTGCTGGGCTGGTTCCTCTCCAGGACACAGGTTTGGTCTCCACTGTACAGCAAAGGCCAAAAAATGGGAATTCTTTGTTGCTCCAGAACCCACTGGAAACTTGTGCTCATTTCATCTGTACTCAACAGCTGCTCAAAGACTTACTGACACCAAGCAGGTGGCAGGACAGGAGGGGAAGCAGAACATGGACTAACTTGGGGCTTCAAGGCTTGAAGGACTGCTAAGTTCACAGATGACATCAAATTGGAGGTCCTGTGGACACTCTCAAGGGCAG